TTTATTTCTCTAACTACTTTCATTTCCATATATATATATAATATATATATATATATATATATATATATATATATATATATATATATATAGGTGTGTGTGTATATTTTCAGATCAATCTACTTCCCCAAATCAGTATTCTGATATCTGCCCATTAAAATACTTTTGGAAAGTGGCTCAGGTTTAAATGAGAATTTTTCTCTCTAACCCTTTGTGTACACACACACACACACACATATATATATATATATATATATATATATATATATATATGTGTGTGTGTGTGTGTGTGTGTGTGTGTGTGTATGTATATATATGTGTGTGTGTACACACACACATGTTTACAAAGACAGGATCTAACATCCTATTTCCTTATACTGTGACTACTGTTAACTAAGAATATTTATATACAGACAATGATGGAATGAATCAAACCAAACATTTTAAAAGGACGGATGGACAGACACTGCATGCATTCTGAAAAAGAAAATTATTATAAGAATTATGCATTCTTTTGTCCAGTAACTGAATTTGCAGTCATTTGTTTGTAATCGTTTAACTCCATCAAGGTCAGCTTCCTATAACAGTCCTTAAACTGTGAATATTAATTTAAATTTAAAGCTATGTAATAGTACGTACAAGAAATTACTCAACCCATCTCCCAAAATCAGTATTTCTATGACCAAACATCAGAATACTGATGGTGGGAAGTTGGTTAGACCAAGAACTTTTCTGCATCTTCTTGTATGACAAAAAATTTATATTTTTTATTGGTTCAATCACACAACTAGTATAATTTGCTGTTTTTTTTTGCTTTTCCATAATAGGAATTTCTTGTATGATGTAAAAGTGGTAAGATAACTAAAAACAAATTAACATTTTTTCCCTGGATTCTCAGCGTTGTTTTCCAAAGGACCTGTACCGTAAGACATTAAAAAGCAAGTAAAATTGATAACAAAACAAAAGAAATATCAGAGCGTTTTAAATATGTAGAATTAATCAAAATTTAAAAAGATACAAAAAAAAGAAAAATTAATATCTGAGATAATTTATTCATTTTATGGTTTTGTGATATGAAAAACATCTGATAGCAGAAAATTGGAGAACATTTAAAAAAAAAAATATCTATACTTATAAATATACATTCTTATATATATATATATATATATATATATATATATATATATTATATTATATTATATCTTAAACATACATATATAACCCTCCGGACCACCTAAAAACAGCCATTTATTTTTATTTCTTAATGCTTCATATTTGCTAAGTGCCTAAAAGCACCTTTAATTACAACAGTTCAAATATTGCTGCAGTTGTCTTGTTCATTGCATAATCCCAAAGTTAATGAGATTTTGAATGGAAATAGCTGCAAAATAGCACTCAATATACATTGGTGTTTACTATGGAATAAAAAGGCACTTTTCGGGCAGTCCGGCTGTAAAAGGGTTAAACATTATGGCTATCCAGACTTATAAATGCAAGCAAGCATTCTACTGTTGCACTGCAAAGTTATATATATATATATATATATATATTTGATATATATATATATATATATATATATAAGTAATACTGCATTTATAAAGTGATTTGTTATTGTAACAAAGAAAGTAGCCATAGAACTGGATAGCTGCAGATCTATTAATTTGGAAGTATCAAAAATAGAGCATCCAACAAACATGAAATAATAGCTTGAGGTGTTACCAGGTGGAAGATGGGGGTGGGTCAGGAAAGGAACAACTTGGGACTGGGTTTTATTTCTAAAGAATACACGGGATTCTAATGGCTACAAATATAGAGGAGTGGTCTTTTGCAGGTGACTTACAACATGCTCATTTAAACATACTGGCTGGCCAACCATATTTGAAAAAAAGAAAAAAGAAAACAAATTTCAATTGGCCAGTAAAACTATTATGTTAAAAGTTAAATTAAGTTAAACATATTAAGGATTACTAAAGGAAATTTTGAGAAATTGTTACTGTTTAATGTAATATACATTATCAATACTAAATAAAACCGATTTGTTCTTTTTTAAATTTCTTCTCAAATAGAAAATAAATTGCATAAATGTTGAAATAAAGAGTTAACAATTCCAATATAAATTGTTTAAGACATTTTATTTTGTGAAGCTATTCACTTTAATTGATATTTATACCACTTAGGTATAGCCAATTTTACAAGTACAAGACTGACCACTGAAAGGAAAGGTATGGGTACTCTGGTTTCAAAGACAGAATTTCCCGTTTTTCCTAAGTGCATTGTCGTTAATGAGCCTCTCCTACTTGGCACCGGGGATTGAACCACTGACCTTTATGGCCTACAATCCAATGCTCTAACTACTGAGCAATAACCCAGGACAATTGTTCAAAAGTACAAGATGTTGAGGAAAGCAAAGAAAATGAAAAAACAAAAAACAAAACAGTTTTGATGAAGTGAAATTTAGAGATCATATTTATCAAAAGAATATGACAACATTCACACACTTTTATACATAAGGTTTAATGTTATAATAATTTCTAGTAAATCAAAAACTTAAAAATTAATATTTGGAAGATAAGCTGAATGCGATAATTCCCACCATTATCATTGTAATGATTGGCTATTCAACAATGGACAATTAAACATGATTATGATTATTATATACTATTATTATATATACAGATATTGGAAAATATGAAATATGATATATCAAAAAATAAAATCCAAAGAGAGAGATAGAGAGAGAAAAAGTGAAATATTGTTTTGTTTTTATCATAACAAGAACTAATCAGTTCTTTTCATTTGAGCATCTGAATCCTTTTGCTTAAAATGAAATGAATAAAAATCATGAAAATTACTATATTAAATAATATTAATATCTTAAGTAAGAAAAATCCACAAATATAAAATAGATTAATAATGCCCAGTTTTTAGTTTTTGATTATTTTCTTTGTTAAATCACAGAATTGAAAAAAAAAAAAAACATAGCTAAGTGTCTGTACTGGGCAAAATTAAACTTTGATAAAAAAAACTCTGCACTTTAAAAATCTTTCAATACTGTGAAAGTATCTGAAATGTACATTCTAACGTATTTTGTTTTCTTTTTTATAATGGTTCAGAGATTAATTTTGTAGACCTTGGTAAGAGAAGATGAAGTTAGAATATTAAAATTTATTTAGTGAATTCAGAGGCTTAATTACTTTAGAATCTTTTGAATCAGTGTGAATATAAATGCTTTTGTATGTATAGGATTGTGCTCAATGTTTAAACTGTTATCCTATGTTGTATTGTTAATCATATAATTATTAGTTGGCATTTTTCCTTTCTTTTTTAACAATATCATTTTTAGAATGATTTTTTATCTTATAGTCTTCAAGATATTTATACATTATATTCAGTCACATGAAAACATATTGCATATATTTATGCAAGTGTACACACACAATACATACATACATACACATATGTATATATAGGAAGAATATGAAAAACAAAAAACGTTTCATTGAAACTAGATTACATGTTTGCTCTTACCAGGCTTCATCAGATCAAAAATGAAAGAAAGAAATATGTGTGTGTTTGTGTGCATGCATATATACATGTTTAAGCATAGATTACATGTATTTGTGGGTATGCTTAAGGATACATGTATGTTTAAGCATACACATACACAATTCTTTCTTTTGTTTTTGATCTAATGAAGTCTAGCAAGGGTGTAACACGTAATCTAGTTTCAATGAAAGTTTTCCGTTTATCATATTCTTTAAACTTTGTCTAGATTCTGTATCCTATTTTATACACATATGTATGTATGTGTGTGTGTGTGTATATGTCTTTATATATATATATATATATGTATACGCACACACACTTTATAAGTAAATTATCCACCATGGGGCAGGAAATAGATACTGAAGAGAAAAAAATGTGCTCAATGTCTCACGACAGAGCAAATATCTTATTCCTATTATGGTGTCTCTTCTGGCAGGCCAATCTATACATGTGTGCATATATATATATATATATATATATATATATATATATAAATAAAAATAAGCATACAAAATCAAAGATATCCAAATAGACGGACATTAGCCTAAACTTAATACACTGAACTTGAGGGAGGGTTAGGGCAATCATGAGAGTAAGATGGATAATATATTGCATTTATTGAATACTGAACATATAAGCCACCTGTTTAATTTGAACTCATGAAAACCATAACCATACTATCAATATATAAGCACACCAGACATGCACGCATATACACGGAATATTTCTATATTTAGACATAAATTGTGATGTATCACACATTCATAACAGTACAATGAATATTTGAAGAAAGAGAATTATGTTTTTTGATTAAAGCTAGCAATAGACAAACAGAAAGAGTTAAGTAAATGCATTTAAAATAAAGATGACTGATAAAATTTTTAAAAGATCATCTTGTTCGTTTGAATCTTTGCTTGTGGAGCGTAGCAGAGGGTCAGTCTTTCTGTCACAGTAAAGCAGTACACATTTAACTTGGTCCAAATTCATATAAAAAAAATGCATGAATGTATTGGATCAAGATGTATAGCAATATCAGCAAATAGTTTGAATCAGTTAAAAAAAAAAGAAAAGAAAAAAGAAATAGGGAGAGAAAGAAAAAAATGTTTATTATTTCTATTGAGGCAGGTGTTTTTTTTTAATGAAATAAAAAAAAAAAAAAAAATCAACAAAATTAAAACATGTGAGCCTGCCTCCCAAAAGGGAGAAAAATCCAAAAGTTTAAAAGGGGGATAAAAAATAAATAGTCCAATTATTTTTGTTTATTTTGATTTTGTTCTTGTCAGGATGCAGTTATTATTATCGATATCAATATAATAATAATAATAATAATAATAATAATTCATGTTAATAGTATTTTTTTTTAATTTTATTCATCTGTGTTATTAGTACTTTATTTTTTTGATTACAATATTTTTTCATTTATAGATATTCCCATCTTTATTTCCTTTTAACTCTTCTTATACCCAATACTGGTTGTCTCGTAAGACTGGGTTTGTTGTTCGGCAATGCTGCAAGAGTTCAGGATCTAACAGTGTCCAGTCAAAGTTAAAGAAATCTGCACCGGCACCAGATTTGATGCTACCATCTGGAGACTGCGCATCAGGTGGTGAGGGGTTTTCCTTGCGCAACAGGGGAGTCACTTTACATGATGGCACAGTCGAACTGACTTCCACCCGTGAAATATCAGGAGATCGGGGAACCGGTGTCTGCATTGCAGCTCGCTCATGTGGGGTTATTATGCTAGGGTGGGAGCCTATTGATGAGGAAGATGGCTGTGGTTGCCTATCGCTGCCACTCGTAGAGGGCAATCTATCTTCTGTTGTAGCAATGGTCATTGAAGTGATTACATCAGCTGTTGTGGCTGTTGTAACAGTGCTACTAGCGCCACTGTCGCCAGCGGTAGAACTGTTAATATTAATAACCGGAATAGTGTTAATACCACTTGTGGATGCGTGTTCCAGCATGAGGGCAGCATCCTCATCAGACACAGGGCTGTTAGCTGTGCTCTGCTGCTGGGGTTCAATATGAACGTGGGGCTGCTCTAAGTGAACCGGGCCGCTGATCTGCGGACGAGGCCGGGTGCGCGCGCTACGGACATTTTCTGTTGGCGATTTCTGCTTTCTCTTCCTTAACAGAATGAAAATAATGAGAACAATGATGATAATTATCAAGATAAACGAGACCACAATGCCAACAATGAGAAGGTCACTGCTGATATTTGGAATATCTTCTTGAGTGCCTGTGCCATCATCTGGCTTAATGGCAGCAGACGCAGATGTCGATCGGGGAAACAATGGTTCATGGAAATAAGTAGTAGACTTGGATCTGTATTTGGAACCATGTGGATGGATACGGATCTCAAAATTGCCTCGTGCTGGCTGGACATTCATGGCCACCAGTTTGAAAGAGAAGGAATCAGTCACTGTGTGATTGTGACTAGACCAATCTGCTTCATAGAAGATGTCTCCTCTGGCAACATCTTCATGAGTAAAGCTTTTGATTACAGTTCGCCTTCGGATTTCACGCCTTCTAATAGGTGAGCGTTTCACCAATTGACCATAAAGTGGTGGGTCAATGATGTTGAATTGAGGGTTATCATTTGTTACGTCAGCCAATTCACTAGCATCTAGAACAGAAGTGTCAATTGAGTTACGGGCTCCAGCAACTGCATTAAAAGGATGTTGCTTCAGAAGTGGACGTACAGTGATATTGAAACGGGCATCATAGACACGACTGTCGATTTGCGGAAAGTACATACGAACTAGGAAATAATCAGAGCCTGAAGCCATGTTTGTTTGAATATAGAGCAAGAGACGGTTTTCAAGATCTGTCTGAGAGAATTGTGTTACTATGACATCTTTCAGATAAAGGTGGCCATATTGAGGTGCCCGGGTTATATTGTAGCGTACATTCTCAGCAATTCCGTTGGTGCGGATCTTGAAGTTGTTGGTACTAATATAAGCAGCTGACTGTGACTGCAGAACTTCAATATCCGAGTACTTAACAATGTTGATGATCACAGGCGTCACATAAATATGAAATTCTTTGAAGAATGGCTCAAACTTGCCATCGCTGACCTTGAAGTAAAAAGTACCAGTATTCTTACTACCGTCATGTAGGAATAGCACTCTTCCAGTGTTGATGTCACGCTGTGTGAACTTTTTGATTGCAGTAAAATAGTTGTTATGAAAACATAATATCCCATTTCTGGGAGGGGTTATCATAGTATAAGTGATGTTCTCTGGAGGTATGTCTGGGTCTGTTGTTTCAAGATCCTTGCGTGTAATATTGGCTGTTAGGCCTTGGATGACTTGAATGCGAGGATTCTTAGTGACCAACACAAAATGTTGGTCATCAACTGGCCAAATTGTTATGTTAAACTCATTCTCTAAGGTACGGCTGCTGATGTCTAAAGGCTTGTTCTTAGCATCATGAATTTTGACTTTGAGCAAGAATCGGAAAGAATCTTGCAAAGTTTCATTGCCATTATGAACATACATTAACCGTTCTTTGTTAATATCCTGTTGTGAGAACTTGACACCAGGCAACAACAAATTACGATCAAGCAACACCTTGCCATACCTGGGAGGTTCAGATATCTCATATTCAACATAGACATGCTTTCCAACATTCTCCAGTTGATGAACATACTTGTCAACATTAATGTTGTCTTTGGTCAATACAGCAGTCCCTCCTTCCAGAACCTCCAGAGGTGAAAGGTTAATCAAATGTTTCTTGTTTTCCTTGTTTAGATTCCCAAATGAAATGCTTATGTTGAGGGTTGCTTCAATGTGCTGGGCATAGAGGGTTTCCACCCGAAACTTAAAGAAATCATGTTGTGACCAACCATTTACTTGTAAATTGTGTCGATAGAAAATTCGGCCATTATTAATATCATCTTGTGTGAAATGCCAAACTTCAATAAGTTGTTCGTTCATCTCGGAGACTATCTGGCCATAAATTGGGTATGTAACCAACAAATACTTGATTGAATTTGTCTGATTTGGATTATTTGTATTTGCATAAAGGTTTTCACTGGTGAGAACTTGCATTGTGTTTGGGTAGACTTCTAGTTCTTTGTTCACATCCAGGGTCAATAACAAGGGTTGAGCAGTAATTTTAAAAACACGTTCTACATCAAAATTAGAACCATCAGAGACTTTAAAATGAAAGCTACTGTTTGGACCACCTGAAAAGAAAAAACAAAATATCATTTAAAATACATATAAATTATATTTAATATTATAGGGGTTGCTTCGAACATAATGCTTACTATTATGTTATTCTACAACAATACAGACAGATATTGGTAGTAGAGGTTGAACCTTCCTGCCAATAACATGTAATAGTTTTTTTTTCTTGTTACAGATAACATTGTGACAAAACGGTGTCTGACATGGAAATGTATACAAAGCATAAGTGTATCAGTGAATTCCTCCATGCAGAAAAAATTGCACCCACTGATATTCATGAATTCTTTCTGAACCTTTACAGTGATCAAACAATGGATGTGATCATAGTTATGTGATGGTAATATATTTCAGCTGTATAACAGTGATATGTGGAACAAACTATGTTCTGGATAGTTATTCATAACTGAAATCTCACCAAATGCTCATTGTTGGCAAAAAAATACATAGCCAAAGGCAGTGAAAATAGTGTTTTGTAGCTGAAGACTTGCTCTATTCTATTGTGCTGTTTGTATTTGTTGTACTTTCTGTGAAAATAGGAGGCATTACTTTCGTAGCATCCCTTGTAATAAAAGAAACAGTTGGGTACTTTGCTCTGTGCAGTTCTTCAACTACTTAGAAGAAGCAGGAAGTATAATTAAATCAATAAACATGCACAAAATTTAGTAATCAGACTGGAAACTCAAGTATATTTTAATTAACAGTCTTAGAACATAATTAATACATAAGTGAATAATGCTGACAAAAAAGGTCATTTTATTGAGATTCTACAGAATCATTAGTTTCTAGTTTTTGGTTTTTAGAGTTATCCGAACGTAATGATTGAAAATGAGCTTAGAGGAGGCAAACCTTAAAAAAACAATTCTATTTCTAAAAGTTGGTAAAGTACATTTTCCTTGGCCTGAATAGAAAAACTTATGGATGGAGTAATTAAGGTACAACAAAACAGGTTATCATCATTTATCATTCATGGTGTATTTTGATAACTACAGTTCTACAACATTTTCAGATTCAAGAACAAACTCAGAGATAAATTTTCTTTTTTAATTAACCCTAATATTTTGGGGTGAATTCCCAAACTTTTCTAAGTTTAACTGTGTCTTTGTTTCCAAGTTCTGATGAAGTTGTTTTAAACTTATCACTTCTCTTCTATATATGGATCAAAAAGATTTTGATCTTTCCTAAAAGTTTTATTTTTCAGTATTAAATTACATTTAGAAAATAAGATATTATTATATAAAATCCTTAAGAACTGATTAGTTTTATTTGCTTAAAGTCTTTTGTTTTAAGGCTGCTACACCTTGAAATGTAAAAAATGAATTATGGAGAGGAATATCTTCATAAATGATTTAAATATCTACGTAGGGAACACTTGATTGGAAATTGTGATGACTACTCTTTCTGTTCTACTATTACTAAAATAGAATTCTTGTTTATTATATGAAAGAAGCTGCATAGGAAAGGATCTATCTGAAAAGTACCATAATTGGCATTCTAGGTGAAGCAATTCCCAGCATGCATATGACAAGTAGACTATGCAACACATAGTAAACATAATAGAATTGCCTTAGTAGATATGCATGGAATGAATAATATGCTAGTGAGTGAAGTTTACTGAATAGTGTATTAAAGGCAGCTAAACAAACTAATTTCAAGAGAATGTATTTTGCTCTTGAAGTGTAACACACACACATACAATAGTTAGCTACTCAGTTTTCGAGCACTCCCGTCTGCTTGGATACTTAGCCAATCCCTGTTGCAGATTCCTGTTCAGGCACATTTGTACTTGTTCAACACCCACAGAGCCTACCTATGGCTTATACTGCAACTATGCTGAGTGGACCTTAGTTACAGTTTATGAGATCAGCAGTTTGAACAATGTCAGTATACTCAAACCCTGAGCCACAATGACTTCATGCTAGTAGAACCATCAACAGATTCCAAACAGTTTCTCTACTCAGTTTTGCTCACAAGGCTTGGGTCAACCTATGATTTGGTTTCCAGGTACTTTTTAGTATTGCATATTGGGATCACTTCCACAGACCAATCACATCAAAAAGCCACCTTCCTAATAAATCGACCATGGTGAGATTTGAACTGGGGTCTCATAGTCAGAAAGTGAATGTTTTAACCATACACACACACATTATATATATTAGTACAGGTAATAATGTGTTGGTATATAATCCAAGTGGAACCTAATAATATAAAATATTAAAACTGATCCACAAAAAGAGCTCAATGTATTTATTATAACAGAGCATATAAATTACAAAACAGAGAAATCCAAAATTACCTCATGAGAATAGCTATTTCAACTAGTGTTAATACACTAATATTATCCAACTCAAATTGTGTGCAGATACAAAGTTAGAAACTTAAAAATTAAATATTCTAAAAAAAGAAAAAGCTGAATAAGACCTAGCCATTGACAATAAGATATTGAGTTAACCAAACAAAACCCATATAGTGATAAGGGAAGGTGGATATTGTCTGGCTTAAATAGAAAGAGTTAATACAAACATGACCCAGATTTTATTTCCACCACCCCAAGTTGGGATTATGAAAAAAAAAAACTGAAGGAATGAATTGGTTTCTAAATGTTGTCACAGAAGTAGATTTAAGCTTATCGAACATATTCTTGATTTTACATAATCTTTACTTATCTAATATACCTTTTACTATAGTTACTTCTACATCTTATATTGTTCATATCAATCCTATCTGATAACCATCCACTACTTTATGAACTCCCTTTTATTTGGTTTTTATGCTTTAAATTAAAAAAAATTTTTTTTTTAAAGGTGTTTTGTTTTTTCTGGGTATGGTTGGTATTCTTAGTAATTTAACTTATCTTTAAAATTGTATATGGTTAATATTATTATCATTAATTTATTCACCAGTTTTCTTCTTTTTTTACTTCCATTTTTTACTTTTTTCTAGTTTATTTTTTCAATTTTTTCTTAATATAAACTATCAAATTAAGATTTATTGTTAATTTTATATTATTTGCTAGAATATTTTTAGTAATTTTTAAAAGAAAAACTTTTTTGTTTTATAACTAATATATTATATTTTTTTTGAGTTGAATAATACTAGTGTATTAACAGTAGTTGAAATACCTATTTTAATGAGGTAATTTTGGATTTCTCTATTTTGTAATATATATGCCTGAATGTAATCTTCATGGCTTGAAGATTGCATTCAAGCATCAAACAGACTGTCACCACTTGGTGTTGACCTTAGTGTTCACTTTTATATTTTATATTTACATACACTATCTCTGATATCGACACTTTTACCTATAAATATAGCATAACTTAAAACTATATTTTTATCTATCTATATGCACAACATTATTCAAATATGCACAAATCCCTTTTATGAAGTTTTGCTGTTGAAAAAAGCTGAAGAATGGATCAGCTAATATGTGATTATGACAGCAACAAAAAGATTTGAACACCTGAATAATTTGTAATAAGTTAATGAGTATTGTCAGAATTAGAGATAATACAAAGAATATTGTAATTTGGTTTATTTTGTAAACTTTACAATAATAAAGCAGTATTAAATAAGAACTAGATGAGATATCCCTAGACATAGACAGTGAAATTAAAACAATCTACTACTTTAGATTAAATAAAGGACTCAGTTTGATATTCCCTGAAGGTTACTTGGATCAAAAAGCACCTGATGAATGCCAGAGAGCATAATGTCTGAAATGATGTGATAACAACAACAACAAAGATAACAACAGTCTGCATGTAAATAATAATTTATAATAATACTTGTGTTTAATTTCTTATTACAGAAAATAGGGAGAATGATCTCAGTAAGCTTGCTAAGGTTTCTGATTAGTTGATTGGTTGTTTTTGTTAAGTAACATATCAATCTCTATGGGCACCTTGAGACGGTGTAATGGTTAACCAGCTTCTCTCGCTAGAATAATTATGACAGTGTAGTGAGTTCGATCCTCACTGGGTGCCCCATACTTTGGTCTTGTGCCACATCTAAGCTACACTTGGAAAATCACTATCAATCTCGATGTAAGGTTTCTGTATTTGGTTGAATATGAAGAAAAGAATATTCATATGGTACACATCTTGGAAGTTGATGATGAGAAAAATGGTTTTGTGGCAGAACAAGAATCTTGAGAAAGGTAGATATTCAACTTGAAATAAAAGAAGTAGCTGTTGTTATAAAAACAGTCATCAGGAGTTAACTCAATATTGCTAGTTGCCTGTGGCAGTAATGTCAGCAGAGTATAATAGTAACAGTATATGAAATACAAATAAGCTGCTTGAAACTGATGAGAAATAAATTGTAGCAATATCAATTGAAGCAAGAAAGAGATTTACTGCATAATAATGTTCAAAGGATTGGGAGGTGATTAGTCAATACATTGTTTTCTTAATTATAAGGTTCTTTTGTTAAATATAATACACATGCACACATATATTTGTGTGTACTTACCAATTTATACTAATTTGCAGCCAGAGATTTTAGTACACAAAGCTAAGATCAGGCTTTTGTTTTTTTTCCCCAAATTAAATCAGTTTTTATTCGCTGAAATGAATTTTAGTACCATACAAGTTACAGGTAAACCTTAGACTTTAAAGTCTTTAGTCTACTACTCTATAATATTCCTTAAGTTCTTTACCCATAAAGATAGAATTAACACAAAGTTTGCGTGAATGAGTGTTTAAAAGTAAAAGGATGATTTGGAGAAAAGTATGATGCATATTCCTGTTAAATGAGACCGTTTTTTTTTCTTTTCTGAATATAATCAGAGTATCTATGAGTTTGGGATTTGATGGAATTCCACACAATATATATAGATTCTATCAATATGTAACATTTCATCTAATAGCAAAAATCCATTAACAATGAGATTTAATGCTGAAGAGAAAAACAATTTACTAAAGACAGAAGCTATATGCAATCTGAAAAAATTGAGACTGACAGAACCCATTTTTGGTAGGCACCAATAATTGAGTGA